CCATATCTGATATCTTAGTAGTGATCACCTGAATTTTCTATTTCCCTGTTTTGGCTTGTTTCCAGTGCCTTATCTATTTTGTTTGATGGTTCCTGTAGCAATTTTCTGAATTTTTCCTTGTTTTGTTTGAGCTTTCTGTGAAACATTTAGACACATCTCAATATCATGTTCCTGAATTGCAAGTAGTCCCAGTCACTCTGCTTCCTGAAAAGCATTTTCTAGCTCTTCCTCTGATTAGTTTGTTTGAACTACTCTGTTTCTCTTTTCTGTAAGTGGACAGAAGTGTTCTGCTGCTTTGTAGGCATTATGGTGTTGTATTTGCACAATATATGTTCACATATTCTTAGGCACTCACCAGTAGCCTCCCAGTGGGTGTGATCAATAGATCACTTTTCTATATACAGTTAAATGCAGAGTGAATTTAGTGGGTGTTTGTTGTAGTTGCTGCTCTGGTGTATAGAAGATGGTATTGACCCTTGCCCAGTTGATGAGGTTGTAGGGGGTATGGGTGTGGGTTGGCTTTATGGCTGAATGTAGAGTCTCCAGTTGTGTGAGTCAAATAAAGAAAACACCTCCACAAGATACATGAAGGACAAAGAAACAAAATTTGATATAAAAATCAAAGACAGTGTGAAAATAATAAAGCGGAGGGTGGTAAAATCATGCAAATTTTAAAACAAGGAAATTCAGAGTAATTATTTAGCACTACCTAACTAACACCCTCTCCTTGACAGCCACCTGAGATATTTTAAGATGTTTCCTCACCTCGAGCCCTTTCAGCTGCTTCTCCAAGTGATAACTTGCCCAGCATTGACCAGGACTGATTTGAGACAGCCTGCTGGTGGGCAAATTCTGTATCTCCTCCCACTTTAATTATGCCCCCAGCTGCAGGGACCACACAGAACCTTCAGTGGTGACCTTAAGTCTTACAGGTTTTACCTCTGGTCACCAGAGAGGAAATGAATATACGGAGAAAAAAAGAAATAATCGTACCCTTTTCTCTGTGAGTCTTGTGCTAACGTCTGCAACATGAATGGTTTCTTGTCTCTCAGTCCACTCACACCTGTGTAAATTATTCTCTACTGTACTTTGAGTAGCTGAACTTACTTTTTTTTTTTTTTATTTAAATTACCCCATGTCTTTTGCATTTACCAGTAAGAAGCCTTCCGCATTATCCCTTTCTATATTCTTTCTCATGCAAGCATTGTGTGCCAGTACCCTTGGAGTTTGTACTGATGGTTACATCTTCGTTTGGTCACCATCCTTCTGAATCACCATGGAAATGTTCTCAGTGTATTTCCTATAGTTTACTCTTTCCAAACACTTTGAGTATCCAAATTCTTCAGAATTTGTGTGTCTTAGGTGCCTTATTTGTTATTAATTCCGTTCTTGTTTTATTTTTATATTTTGAAAATCCATTCCTAATGATTAGTTCAGTCTCTCAACAGGGTAATAATGGACAAAAGGTATGCAATGAACTTACACTGATGAAGCTGATGAAGAGTAATAGTTGGTTGTTTACGTCAGGAGAAATCTGTGAGTTTCAAGGCCATGAAAATCCCCACAACCACCAGGATGGGCATACCAGGTATCTTACCCATGACATTAAATAGTACCCAATGGGACAGCTTTAAGATGACATCACATTTGTATGCCTCTTTTAGTGTGTGTTTATAGATAGATATAAAACTAGCGCTACATGTGTGTCTACACCTAATATTCACAATTCAGGAATTTCCAATTAATGTGAATCAGGTACTGAGTATTTGAGACATCTCACTTGTACACATTATGAGTATTTATTTTGGAATGTGGTGACAATAATGGTAGTACCTTACATGTGATGATTTAACCTGTGCACCATGAGAAAACTTAGGACAAAAAATGAACATTCATTGTGTATGGTATTTCTCAAATGGTAGAAAATATAATTTTAACAGCACACTCCATGTTTTCAACAGAAAATATGTGGTAGAGACCTGCTGTGCAAATAAAGACGATAAAGTGAAGAAATATGAAGAAGGTGATCAAAGTGCCTGCTCTGAGGAAAATCATTGGAGCCTCGAAGGAACTGAGGTTGGAGTAAATGCTTTTGACTTTCATGAGGGTGGTAATTATACCTTTAATCATCCCATCAGATCTCACACTGAATATGAACCATACCAGCATAAAGAACATGGAGAAAGCTGCTGTTCTCCGTCTTATATAAAACATCATTCAAATACTGTTAATGGGGAAAAAGTCTGTAAATGTGAGAATTGTGGAAAACCCAAGGATAATTGCTCATCCCTCACTAAGTACATGAGTACAACTTCCAGTGAAGAGAGGCCTTATGAATGTAAAGAATGTGTAAAAGCTATTAGTCTACACTTATCATTAACTCACCTTACAAGTACTTATAGTGGAAAGAGACCTTATGAATGTAGGGAACATGAGAAAGCCTTTTGTCATGCCACAGCCCTCACTAAACCTATAAAAATTCATAGTGTAGAGAAGCCTCTTGAAAGTAAGGAATGTGGGAAATCCTTTAGTTATTCCTCAAAGCTCATTAAACATAGAAGATCTCATAGTGGAGTAAAGCCTTATGAATGTGACAAATGTGGGAAACCCTTTTATCTTCACACAAATCTCATTCAACATAAATTAACTCACAGTGGAGAGAAATCTTTTAAATGCAATGACGGTGGAAATGCTTTGAGTCATTCCTCAACGCTCAGTGCACATGAAAAATCTCACAGTGGAGAGAGACCTTATGAATGTAAGGAATGTGGGAAAGCCTTTATTACATCCTACAAACTTACTCAACATGTAAGATCTCACCTTGGAGAGAAGCCTTATGAATGTAAGCAATTTGGAAGAGGTTTCACTCGGTCAGACAGTCTTACTAAACATATCCGGTCTCACACTGGAGAGAAACCTTATGAATGTAAAGAATGTGGGAAAGCTTATCGTTATACCTCTCAGCTCACAGAACATACAAGATCTCACAGTGGAGTAAAGCCCTATATATGTGAGGAATGTGGGAAGGCCTTTCATCTTCAGAAACTACTCACTCAACATAAAAAAACACACAGTGGAGAGAAGCCTTATAAATGTAATGAATGTGGAAAAGCATTTCTTCGCACCTCACACTTCTCTGACCATAAACTGTCTCACAGTGGAGAGAAGCCTTATGAATGTAAGGAATGTGGGAAAGCCTATATTACATCCTACAAACTTACTGAGCATGTAAGATCTCACCTTGCAGAGAAGCCTTATGGATGTAAGCAATGTGGAAGAGCTTTCACTCGGTCAGACAGCCTTACTAAACATATCCGATCTCACACTGGCGAGAAACCTTATGAATGTAAAGAATGTGGGAAAGCCTATCGCTATACCTCACAGCTCTATGAACATACAAGATCTCACAGTGGAATAAAGCCCTATGTATGTGAGGAATGTGGGAAGGCCTTTCATCTTCAGAGAGTACTCACTCGACATAAAAGAATACACAGTGGAGAGAAACCTTATAAATGTAATGAATGTGGAAAAGCATTTCATCAGTCCTCACACTTCTCTGACCATAAACGATCTCACAGTGGAGAGAGGCCTTATGAATGTAAGGAATGTGGAAAAGACTTTATTACATCCTACAGACTTACTCAACACATAAGATCTCACCTTGGAGAGAAGCCTTATGGATGTAAGGAATGTGAGAAAGCCTTTATTACATCCTACAAACTTACTCAACATGTAAGATCTCACCTTGGAGAGAAGCCTTATGAATGTAAGGAATGTGGAAAAGCTTTCACTCGGTCAGACGCACTTACTAAACATATCCGAACTCACACTGGAGAGAAACCTTACGAATGTAAGGAATGTAGGAAAGCCTTTACTACATCCTACAAACTTACTCAACATATAAGATCTCACCTTGCAGAGAAGCCTTATGAATGTAAGGAATGTGGAAAAGGTTTCACTCAGTCAGGCGCACTTACTGAACATATCCGAACACACACTGGAGAGAAACCTTACCAATGTAAACAATGTGGGAAAGCCTATCGTTATACCTCACAGTTCAGAAAACATATAAGATCTCACAGTGGAATAAAGCCCTATGGATGTGAGGAATGTGGGAAAGCCTATCATCTTCAGACACTACTCAGTTTTCATAAAAGAACACATAGTGGAGAGAAGCCTTATGAATGTAAGGAATGTGGGAAAGCCTTTATTACATCCTACAAACTTAATCGACATGTAAGATCTCACCTTGGAAAGAAGCCTTATGAATGTAAGCAATGTGGAAGAGCTTTCACGCGTTCAGACAGCCTTACTAAACATATCCGATCTCACACTGGAGAGAAACCTTTTGAATGTAAGGAATGTGGGAAAGCCTTTATTACATCCTACAAACTTACTCACCATATAAAATCTCACCTTGGAGAGAAGCCTTATGAACGTAAGGAATGTGGAAAAGCTTTCATTCAGTCAGACACACTTTCTAAACATGCACGATCTCATACTGGAGAGAAACCTTTAATCAGTTAAGCAATGAGAAGAGTGAAAATGGAAGCCCACATCCTGATGACATCTTCCTGTAAGCTATCAGAAACCATAAAAAATACCAAAACACATACTCAATTAAGTATTAACATTAAGGTCACTAAACATGTCCAAGAAACAATAGCAGATGACCATATCAGCATATGTCCAGAAATAAGATAAAATGTCTGAGACAAATGACCTAGAAGTAGACCT